TATGTTTTTGTTATTTTAACCATGATAGTGGGATTTTTGGTTCAAATTTACCAGAGACATCACCCATACCAATAAGTATACAGGATGCCACAGTCAGTTGTTCTTATAAGCCTACCGATTTATCAATCAGGTCTTAGTAAAAAGACATAATAAGTATATTGTTGCTGTCAGAACAAAACGTCGCATCTCCATAATTTTTACTTTTCAGAAAAAGAAAAAGCACTTCTAACTCCTAATAGATAATAAATGGAGCATAATGAATAAGAGAGGTTACAAGTGAAGCTTTTTGCAGAAATTGAGGTACATTTAATAGACTGAAGAAAAGCAGAAAACCTCATTTTGAGGCAAGTGTTATTTTTGCTATGCTGCTCTCCTCTCTCTGCAGGCCTCAGGTGTATTCAGAACCCCGGGGCCAGAGAGCTGCACTGCAATGTGCTGAAGTGGCCAGTATGTGAAGTAAGGTCAGGGACGGGTTTGTCTAAGAGCCGATCTCATCACTGCTGAGTCCAACGCCGCTTCCTGTTGCTTGTCCTGGGCCGGCATTATTCCTGGACCAGCTCCATTATGCACAGTAATCCTCCCTGTAGCCAGTTTGGCCAAGCCATTGTTCGCTTGCTCCATGTTCACTGGAGCTGACTCTAGCTGGGTGGGCCATACCCCAGCTCTCTTTTTCTCTCTTTATGTCCAACTCTGTGCTTCACTAAAAAAACCAAGACCAATAAGAAACAATAGCTGCCTGCTTTTTGAAATACACTCAGAAAAAGAGGCTTGAAATAGATGTGAATCATCTGATGGACCTGAGGGAAAGACATGTGTGTGTAGGTGGTTAGCTAGGTCAATGTACCTGCTATGGAGCCTCCTTAAAAGTGAATTTTATCATTTCTTCATAATTTCTGCATCAGTCCATCGTTAACATATAAAATAAGTCATTTGAAGTGGTTTTATGTGAAATGATAGATATAGAAAACCTTACTGACTCAGATTACTTTACAAAGATGGTGATAGGAACCAGAAGTCAAAATGTCTACATTGCAAATATAGCAATTTTTTGTGCCATCCAACATGACCACCTGCCACCTGAGTGTTTATATGCAATGTTGATGGTAAAGTAGTGGGAAATCTGAAAACAATACGTCTTCTTTGGGTTTTGCTTTCCACCTTGCACATACTTAAAAGAAAACAGTTTTTGCCAAACTATCGTAACACGACACATTTGTAACTATTTTGTGTAATAGCTTTCTTTGAGGTAGCTTTTAGAGACATTCAATACTTTAGATGTCTGGTTCCTGTCACCACTGTAACAATTCTTACTTCACAGGTTCCTCTATAACGGCATATCAAACCACTCTGAACACTCACTTTAAACCAATCTGAATGTCTCTGTTTACATCTGATGACTCAATTATGCAGTGGAGAAAACGGCAGAAGTGGCATGTTAAGAGGCAAAGTGTCTGCTGTTCAGTAAGGGATAATTCAAAGTCCAAGCCTTAACAATGGACAGATTCCCAGCAGGCGAATAAATAAACCACATCTAATATTGTTTCATGATGAGCTTACTTGAAGTACATGTGGGCAAAACACAGCTATATACAAGAAGTTATTTGGTACACCTACCATAAGGGTGCTCTTTACAGGTATACACTTACTGACTGTAGTCCATCTGTTGCTTTGTCAGCCCATCCTCTACCCTGTGCATTAATGTTGCCCAAATAAAATCTGGCCAGTGGTGGTCCTTTTCCATAGATGAATAGGTTATAGTAGGGCTGACAAACTGTGCAGCAACAGACAGGCTACAGTCAGTAATTGCAAACCTACAAAGTGCACCTAGATTGTAAGTGCATCTGATAAAATGGCCAACAAACAGGAACAATAAGTGTGCCTAATAAACTGGCAACAAAGTGTTGTCTATAATGTCAGTGAACAGGAATGCTTTATGGAATTAACACATGAAAAAAGTAATTAAGAAAACATACATTCTTCTTCAATTCCTTAATGAACCAATCACAAAAAAGACAGGCTAGGAAATCTCATGTTAGTTCTTTCTCAACCTCATAGTAATGTAATTTGCAGTGTTTCCGCTATATATATTTTGCTGCTCTTGGCCTGACACCGCTGCTGAAAAAATTCCTAAAGGAAACGCTGCATTTAGACTGCTTTTGTTCATCTAAAGAACACAGTATAAGACTCTACTTCACACTGCACAATGCCGTTCCTTATGGGTTTTGTTCCAATACGTTTTACATTCACCAAGTGCTGCTGGCTTATGGAGCAAGCAAAGAATAAAATATGTAAATGTGAGCAAAAGCCTTTTGTTTTTATGCCGCAAAGAGGTTCAATTATCTCCCCCTTGTTGTTTGTATTAAGCATTCTCTATTGGTATCTTGTTAAACCAGCTAAACACTTTTATGCCTTTACAACTGTTCTGCAGTTCATTGTTAATTTAACAAATCTTATTTTCCCTTTAGCACTACTAATGTTTCTACTGATCTCAGGTTCTTTATTTCCTTCTTTCCACACATTTTGCTGCAGCTTAAAAATACGAAAGCTGCCATTCAAGTAAGGTTGTGCTAATAATGAACACAACTATTTTATGGATGTACCAAAACGCTGAATTAAAAACATGATAAAAATGTAAAAAAAGTGAAGTGAAAAGTGAAATAGTGAAGTTTGTGACAGCATTTGGGAACTCTGTGTTGTGACCACAGGCCAGTTCCCCTAGTATTAGCTTCTTTACCCTGTTTAGAGTTATTCAACACAGTGAAAGTCTATAATATGACCAAATAACAGCCAGCATAACCTCTGAGAGTTATAGCTGCATGGAAAATACTCAATGAGCAAAAGGGGAAAAATGTAACCAACAGACAAATATGTTGAGTGAGTTCAATCCAATGAATGCATTGTGTCAAACACATTAGCCTACCTTAAGAAAGACAATATAGTAAGTCCTGTCGCACTAACCAAAATCAGTCTACTGCATCACACTGAAGAGCAGTCTATATCACAAACCTTTAACTGTAGCAAAAGTTTATAAACACCTAAAAATGTAGCCTTCTGCATTGCTTGACCTTACATTAAAGTGGTTGGTCATATTCAAAAATATCACCTCTTCTCTTTTGACATGGACCAAAACTTCAACATGCATGTGTGAAATCCTATCAGCAGATGCAGATGTTAATGCCATTACTCCTGCAGCTTAAACAGTTCAGCCTATTTGTAAGATGAAACGAAACAGGCCAAAATTTATCTAAACAAGATCTCAATAAACTTCACAAAGCCTAACCTTCGCTAAGTTTTTGTACTTCAAATGAACATTCACCCAGGTCTAGCATCAAGACTGAATTCCTATCTAATCTCTTAAAAGGCTCTTTGTTTAATGGTACAGTTCTAGGAAAAAAAAAATAGATTGGTACAGTACTTTCACATCACACTCGCACATTTAATTTACAAAAACAGGTCTTTAAAGAACCCTTCATTGCAAGGTTCTTCAGGCACCAATCCAAACAAAGTTTTCAACTTTTACTGGTGATTTAGAACCACAGAATGAGCTGTGCATCGCTAAAGTTAGAGTGTGTTTATGATCCAAGCTGAGAATGAGGAAAGAAGGCTATCACAACGACTATATAGCACAAGTGATATGTTCAAGAACTATCACTTTCCCAACTTAGAAACTGGGTTATGTCTTTACACTCCTTTCCTGGAAAGCTGACTGAAGCCAGACGACAACTTCTAACCACACAGATTGGGAAATTCAAACACTTTCTTCACTTAGTTCAGAGCTGGCGGTTAATCCTATAGGGTATACTCTTTCCCATTTCACCTCAAGCAGAGTCCTTGCAAAATGTCATATCCTGAAAAATGCCATCAAAAGTGCAAAAACAAACCATCATATGTGCCATACATATGAAGCTACACCAATGATCAGCGTGTTTTGAGACATAATGGGGAATTCTGATCTTTTTGCACAATTCAGTCTTTGAGATGTTAAGTCATTTAGAGGGGTTTAATGTGAAATAGTGTATTTTAGAAAAAGTTTCTAACTAAGACTACATTACACTAAAGTCTTCAAAACTGCTGGGTATAGGACCCAACAGTTTTGAAGACTTTAGTGTAATGTAGTCTTACCACCACCACTTTGAACAATTCTGGCTTTCCAAGTTTCTGTAGAACAGTGCATTTCACTTCAAACCACTCTGAATGACTTGTGTTTACATTGTAACCATTTAATTATGTTGACAATCACGGTTCTTTTTTAAGAGGATGCTGAGATAAAAGTAAGGCATATTAAAAAACTATAACTCAGTCAGGTTTGTGAAAGCAATAAAGATCTCCATACACCAACATCAGTTCCAGGATAGCATTAGCTATGTTGTCTTGTTTAAGACTGCCCTGTTACTCAATCAGCTCATGCAGTGAAAGTCTAAATTATGGCCAGACAACAACAGCTATCGTCACATTTGTCACTAAGTCATTTTCACTTTTGAGTGTGGGAAATATTATCTAACTAACAGACAAATATGCTGACTAGCTGCAAACCAGTTGATGGTTGAGGCATTAGCCTATAGTAGTGGTTCCCTTGTACCCAGCGCCCTGCACATTTTGGTGTTTTCTCTGCTCTCAACACACCTGATCCAATTCATCAACTTATGAACAACCCCTTCCTACACATTTAGAAATGAAAGACAGCTCAACTTAACTGATTACACTGCCTTTCTTGAGATGAGACCCTATCACACAGTCCCAGCAGGCATTTTCTCCTCTTGGGCTTCTAGATATGCACTGCGGTGTTCTAAATAGAACCATTCCCTTCATTTAAGAACAATCTTTTTCAAGAGTGCAGTTACCTTATAATTGTAAGTTGAGCTGACTGATCATGCAAGGTCATATATAAGTCCATAAAAGGGGCACGTTAGATCCCATCCAAAGCCAATTTGAAATAACACGAGCATGCAATGCACCGAGCAACACACATGAAAAGAAGATAGCTGGAGCCCGCCACTTACCGGCCACGCGAAACTGAAGCGTAAAACAATCCTGGCCTTGTCCGCGACGGCCGTGCCCTTGGTGGTGAATGTATTACCCCCGAGAATGGGCGTAGATCCAGTGCCGAAGCTGCACGGGCCCGCGGCAGACACGCGCGACTGGTATTCCTTGAGGCAGACCCTGAAGTACGTGTCGCATTGGTCGGGCGCGCACACGCGCTCAGCGCCGCCACTCCGCGCGCCCCCGCAGCACGCGCCGCTCTGAAGCTCGCCGCGCGCGTTCTGCATGGACAGGATCTCCAGTTCGAAGTGTCCAGATGCAGTGCACACCTGTTTAGGGGAGGTCAGAGAGACAGGCACTGGAGGAAATATACTTTAAAAAATCTGAAAAAAAGTCCACAGGCAAGAATCCACGTCTGCCGACTGAAAAAGTGTGCAGTCATGTCTGTCCTCAGTTTCAAACTCTCTCCAGCTGTTCTAACAATCTACCCTATCGAGCATGCGCATATCATTAGTATAATGAAATACTTAAACAAGAATTCAAAACAGACAGAGCTTAATGGTGCTATTTACCCCAGGTAAGCTGATTTAGCTGATCTAAATATCGTAATTATTCTTTTAATGCTGGTACTATATTCTGATTATAGGTTGTCAAACTATCCTACCTATACATTTCAATGCTGATAGGGTGACTTAGGCTAACAGAATACACCACCTACAGTTTTATGTACGGAGCTACCTATAAATGTGTTACAGTAGGACATTTCGACAAGACAGCACAATTCTTCAGAACAGCTGCCGTCAGCCTCGCTCACTGAGACACTAACAGCACATAGCTCAGTTCACTTTCTCTAATCTGAAAAACACCTCCAAACGTTCACAACTTTCGCTGCGGTTCACGCTCCGAATGAAATGTTTAGAGCCTCTAACAGTCTGAAACTAAAACACGTACAAAAACACTGTGAAATCAATGCTCTAAAGAAAGAACGTAGCTAACCGTAACTTACAACGAAAAGACATAGTCACAAAGTAAAGAACATATTCACAAAACGTCTAGCTACGGTTTATGTTTTTGGGGAGCCTAAAGAAGTATGAAGCGCAGTATAAACAAGTCCAAAGCTCATAGCGTAAGCATGGAAGTGAAAAAAAAATAAAAGAATGAGGTGAAGAAAGAAAGAAAGAACGTACCTTCATCCGCCAGCACAAGAAAAAGACATGGAGGCAAAACGCTGCGAACGCTGAGCTCCGTGGCAAAAGCATGCCGCTGCCGCTTCGCTTCCAAATTACACTGGTCTACAGCCGCCTCACGGCTCTCATACACACCTCGTCTTTAACATGCACGGGTGGTGAGCACCACACTCTTTCAAGAGTCCTTTCAAAGTTTGTATTCTCCTCCTTCCAAGTGAAAAAAAATAAAAAACTCCTAATGCACCCTTAACTCCAGCGTCAGAAATGCTTATTTTCTCCTCTGTTGTTGGTGTTTTTTCTTTGCTAATTTTCTCCTCTCTCGGTGGAAAGGGTTCGTTATACAGAAGCCATGGGAGCGAGTGCCGTCCGCAAGCGGCTGGAGAAGTGAACTGTGCTCTGTGGGCAGCGGGTTCAGCGCGCAGCGAACAGTGCTGCCGAACGCATGCGTCACTTTAATATTCAAGAGCTGTTGGGGGCTGGCTGGCGCGGAGTCCCTCCCAGGCTCCAGACAGAGTACGGATGAAGTTCATCTTGTTGGAGTTGTAGTGCCTTCTTATAGGGTTGCTGCATCAGGCAAAACCAAGCCGCCAAGGGCCCATGAAAACATAAATATGCTATATATATATATATATATATATATATATATATATATATATAGCATATTTATGTTTAATTGTATATATATATATATATGTATATACAATTTAACTGTAGTCAACTTAGCTAGCATAACCTTTTCAATCAGTGACACAAAACAAATGTTATTCATTTATCTATTTTAACTTCCAGCACTCTGTAAATTTCTCTCCGGATCGTTTCCTTTCTGATCAAATCGTTATAATATGCAGTGAATATAGAGATCTCTCCTTTTTTAAGGAGATCAGTTTTAAGGTCGAATGGCAGGGAAATGCCATCCAGAATAGAAATTATTTTGTAGACACCTTCTTTAGTTATAATGTGAGCGTTTTGGTTTTGTCATCGTCGCTCGCTCTCGTTTGCCTGCTAAAGGGCACTGTGAAAGAGGAAGGAAAGTAAAACGTTTGTCGTTACTCTAAAGCTAACCTTGTCTTGTCAGTCAGAACAGAGTGCTGCACAGGTCCAGCAGACAATAAATAATGCTAGTGTGAATGTTAGTATAGATAGCTCCAGCGTTGGAGCAGTTACTCAAAAATGCAAAATTACTTATTATTTCTCTGAGCTGTCCTGTGCATTACATTACTTATAACGTCCTGAAAAAAAAGAAATAAAAAATGACATCTGTGTTACTCTGTACAAAATTTTTCTCACTATATTGACAGATACTTTAGCTTGTTTCAAGCATATTTCTTTAAAAAAAACAAGATTACCCACTAATACAAGATAATTTCCCTTAATAAAATGAATGATTAAAATTAATCTATATATAAATTAAAGAATATTATACTAATTTTACAAGTCTTAAAACGAGAAATATTAGAAATATTAAAAATATTAGAATTTTTTAATCTATTTTTTATCTATTTATTTAATGTGGTAATGATAGAAGAATATCAGATAAAGACATTACTGATGGTTGTTAAAAAAAAAAGCATATCCAGAATTTACTAGATTTGATTTAATAGCTATTGGTTTCTTCGCTTTGTAACTGCTCTAGTGTGACTTTCACTGAAAGACTGCTGCTTCCACAGTAAATCAATATTTTAATTCAGCTCAGTCATTTACATGGATAGCTCTTTCTACATCAGACATTGTCAGGGTTGACACAGCATCATACAAAACTGAGGGTGAGAGAAAATAAATGTCATAAAGGTATAATAGTACAACCCCATCTCCAAAAAAGTTGGGGCGCAGTGCAGAATATAAATAAAAATAGAATGCAATGATATACAAATCATGTAAAACACTTTAAAAGGAAAATACTACAAAGACAACATATCAAATGTTGAAACTGAGAAAATTGATTATTTTTGAAAAATACATGCCCATTTTGAATTTGATGCCAACAACATGTTCCAAAAAAGTTGGGACGGGGATATGTTTTCCACTGTGTTTCATCACCTCTTCTTTTGACAACACTCTGTAAGTGTTTGGGAACTGAGGAGACCAATTGCTGTAGTTTTGAAAGTGAAATGTTTTCTCATTCTTGTTTGATATAGGATTTCAGCTGCTCAACAGTTCGGGGTCTCTTTTGTCGTATTTCTCGTTTCATGAAGTGCCAAACGTTATCAGTGGTGAAAGGTCTGGATTGCAGGCAGGTCAGTTGAGCACCCAGACTATTTTAATACAGATCAATGCTGTTGTAATATGTGCAGAATGTGGTTTGGCATTGTCTTGCTGAAGTAAGCAAGGCCTTCCTTGAAAAAGACATTGTCTGGATGGCAGAATGTGTTGCCAAAACATGTATATATCATTCAGCACTAATGGTGCCTTCACAGATGTACACTTCACCCACTCCATGTGCGCTAATGCACCCCTATACCATCATGAATACTGGATTTTGAACTGTGCACTGATAACAAGCTGAGTCATCTTTAGCCTCGAGGACACAGCATCCATGCTTCACAAAAAGAAATTAAGATGTTGATTTGTCGGATGACAGAACACTTTTCCACTTCCCCTCAGTCCATTTTATATAAGCTCAGGCCCAGAGAAGGTGGCAGCATTCCTGGATCCTGTTTATATGTGTTTTCTTCTTTGTGTTTTATAGTTTTAACTTGCATTTGTGGAAGCAGCGATGAACTGTTTTCACAGACATTGTTTTTCAGAAGTGTTTCTGAGCCCATGCAGTGATTTCCACTACAGAATCATGTCTGTTTTTAATGCAGTGCCATCTGCGGGTCCAAAGATCACAGCCAGCAAATACTGTTTTTTGGCCTTATCCCTTGCATACAGAGATTCTCCAGATTCTCTGAATCTTTTAATGTTATTATGTACCGTAGATGATGAAAAGCAAAAATTATGTTGAGAAATGTTATTCCTGAAATTGTTGCACTATTTGATCGTGCAGTCTTTCACAGAGTGGTGAACCCCTCCTCAACCTTACTTCTGAAAGACTCAGCCTCTCTAGGATGGCCTTTTTATATCCAGTCATGTTACTGACCTGTTGCCAATTAACCACCAAGTCTTTTAAGCATTCCACAACTTTACCAGTCTTTTATTGCCCTGTCCCAATTTTTTTGGAACGTGTTGCTGGCATCAAATTCAAAATGGGCATATTTGTTTCAAAGAACAATACAATTTCTCAGTTTCAACATTTGATATGTTGTCTTTGAAGCATTTTTAATTAAATACAGGGTTTAAATGATTTGCACATTATTGCCTTCTGTTTTTATTTATTCATTTTTCATAGCATCCAAACTTTTTTGGAAATGTGGTTGTATATGCAAACAGACCCTGTTAGTATTTTTACATTTTGTTATTGCTAGCATTGCTTATTAGCATGGAATGAGTTGCCTCTATAGTAGGCCACTTTGTTTATCAATTCAATTCAGTTTTATGTCTATTGAGGGGCAGCACAGTGGAAACCCACGCACCCCGTGTCTGCGTGGGTTTCCGCCGGATACTCTGGTTTCCTCCCACAGTCCAAAGACATGCAGTCAGGCCAATTGGACATGCTGAATTGCCTGTGAGTGTGAGTGACTGTGTGTGTATGTCTGTCTGCCCTGCGATGGACTGGCAACCTGTCCAGGGTGTATCCTGCCTTCTGCCCGATGACAGCTGGGATAGGCTCCAGCACCCCCCTGCGACCCAGAAGGAGAAGCGGCTTAGAAGATGTGTGTGGTGTGTGTGTGTGTGTCTATTGAGCGTTAACATGCAAACTCCACACAGGAAACCAAAAGGACCCTGGTCGTCCAGCCAGGAAAGTTTTTTTGGGGGACTACTTTGCCTTACCATGCCCTGCATGTATCCCTCCACCATGAGTGGATTAAAATAAATGGATTAACATGACATTTTAGGCCAAAACTTTATCACCAAACTATCATAAAACAATGTCTCAGTCATCAGGCATCATAACCAGTGACCTGTGAGCAATACTGTTTTTTCTAGAATTAAGCATTTCACATCAAACCAGACTTCTTTAAATCTTAACCTTTTATGTAGAAATTTTGAATAACTGATGGAGTTCCACTTTAAATTGATATACGCTTACTTATATGCGTCTATGTGGCCCCCAAAATGGGGATAACAGGCTTATATGTCATTGGCCCTAAAAGGACCATTTATATCTTGATGTCAACATGATGGGTCCTTAAAAGGCACTTTCACCATAGATTTCTCAGTTGTGGTGTGAACTTTGCCACATTAATGTGCAGCCACTCCTGCAGCATTTGTGAGTACACAGACCACAAAGGCATGTCTTTATTGCCCCAACAGCTCTTGTTGCCTTCTTGTGGATATGGGGCAAAAGCCTATAAAAATGGTTTAAAATACAGGTATTATGGAACTGGTAATATAGAGTATGGAATTTCAATCACCTGTGCCATGAACAGATGTGTTTGCAAATACAGTGGATTGTCTGCCTTTTCCGCAATTATGCAACAGCCACAAAGAGCATTCCCCCAGACCCTGATGTACACAGACAGAAGGCAAGAGAGAGTAGTTAATCTGTAACTAGAAGAACATTTTGCCATCTCATTTTATAACTACTATGGTGTGCGGAATGAGCAACACATTGCATGATTTCTTCTGAGAAGTAGCCAGAATCATCTACAGGAGGACACTTCCAGATGTCTTCCAAATTGCTCAGTAGTTCACACTCATGGGAACCGTTGTCCCTTGTGTTGAATAAAGGTGAGTGAAAGTCTAGCTCATGTTATCTCTGTCAGTTATAGATCAGATCAGATCAGAGTAGATTAGGACAAAAAGAAAATAAATTTGGAAGAACAACAGATTATTTTGTTGTCTTGTGAAATACAAAGTGGTAGATCAACAGAAACTTTGCTGATTCAAAACACATTACTACGGAAAATGCACAATAGGTTTTCGGTACGGTTATTATTTTAGGGAGCTAAAAATTCTGAGAACTCAAAATGTCAGCCTATGTGGTTTTCTTTTTATATTTTAGGTTTTAATGTTATATCCCAATATACTTCTTAAACTCAAATAAACAGCCGAAATAGTCTTAAATCAAATAAATATTGTAGCACTGAAGGTGGAGCTGCCAATTATTCTTGGTTATGATAAATACCTTGTATATCTCTTTTTGTTTCATTAGTTCTCATCATACAGAAGTTTTTGTGCACATTATTCCCATGCAAAAGATTAGACTTGGATATATTTTACATGCTTGTTTGACAAAGTACATGGAAACATGTCTATATTATTGTCCATGGTAAGAGACTGTATGCTACAGATGCATTAGATAGAGATAAAACAATGGTGGAGAATATGATATTACGTTAGTCTGGCTCTTTGCCTATTGTATAATTATAGTTATATCATAATTATCATTATCATTAAGTGCCACTAATTCATTTCTGAGTCCAGGTGACCATTTGGATAATATTTCTACAGAATGTCCTGTCTTCTTTTTGGCTCTTCAAGCTTCTGGATAGCTACTGGTTCATGATTCCTCTGATTGTATTCATCTGTCTTGTTATTGGCTGTCCTCTTCCTCTTTTTCTTTCAACTATTCCAAGCATAGACTGGTGACCTGTCCAGGGTGTATCCTGCCTTCCACCCAATGACTGCTGGGATAGGCTCCAGCTTCCCCCGCGACACAGAAAGATAAGCCGCTTAGAAGGTGTGTGTGTGTGTGTGTGTGTGTGTGTGTGTGTGTGTGTGTGTGTGTGTGTGTGTGAATTGGTTCTTCTCAGTATATGTCCAAAATAAGATTCAGTTTAGTTATCTTTGCTCCAAGTGAGAGGTGAGGCTTGATTTGTTTGAGGATCCAATCCATTGTATGATAGTCAAATCTAAATCATAATTTGTTACTTATCTGACATTAATTTGTGTGGCCACTTAAATGAGAGCATTTGCATGTTCAAGTCCATGTGCCCTACTGATGTTTCCTGTCTGTGAGGTTCAAGATTAAAGGTGAGCTAGCCCCTTTGTCCTGGCTGCAGTGCCTCTGAAACATTCCAACCCCTTGAGGGATCTCACATTACTCACATTATTCAAACGGTTGCTCTGTGTAATAAGGGTTAATGAGGCTTACTCTTTAAACTTCGAGACTTGACCACTTTCTCATCCAAGGGTATTTTTTGGACGAAATTATATGCTCATTTCCTTTTTGTCTGAGGGCTTCAGATTTCTGAGTCAGAAAGATCATGACAGATCATGCCGAAGGATTTTGAGCTCCATACATTTTTGAGGCTGTTCGCAAATGGACTGCTGATCATACATTCATCAGACCTATCCTTTTAGGTTCTGTAAAAGGATTTACTTTTGTAGATGAACCTGTGACGCAGCTAGCATAATTTGTTTCCCAAAACATTTTTTGAGAGTCAAATAAATATTCTTAATACATCATTCTCACATTCCTAGTACCCACATTTAGCAGTCACTTTAGGTTGGACATTTCAATCCACACAGTTTTGTCACACTGCTGTGAAGTTTGGAAGTGCTGGATAAGATGTAGGGCGGCGCGGTGGTGCAGTGGGTACAGCAAGAATGGCCTGGGTTCGATTCCCGGCCGGGTGACCAGGGTCATTTCTGTGTGGAGTTTGCCTGTTCTCCCCGTGTCTGCGTGGGTTTCCTCCGGGTACTCCGGTTTCCTCCCACGGTCCAAAAACATGCAGTCAGGCCAATTGGACATGCTGAATTGCCCCTAGGTGTGAGTGAGTGTGTGACTGTGTATGTCTGTTTGTCTGCCCTGCGATGGACTGGCGACCTGTGCAGGGTGTATCCTGCCTTCCGCCCTATGACAGCTGGGATAGGCTCCAGCACCCCACCGCGACCCAGTAGGATAAGCGGTTTAGATGATGTATGTATGTATGTATGGATAAGATGTGTACCATGTTTTAGACCATCTTCTACACTGACCGCTTTGTATATTTATGACATTTTCTCAACACTTGAAACAGAAAAAAAATCATTTCAGCCTCTTTACAGTGAGAAGGCAACTTACTTCTTTTGGTTAATTATGTCTTAGTCATCAATGGCTGGATTGAAGCTAAACTATGTAGGGTAGATCTCATGACCTGAACTGGGCACCCCTGATTTAGCACAATTTAACCAAGAAAGAATATTTTAATTGAAATGTTGGAAATATTTTCAGATACATGAACACTCTAGGTATGTTAAATTTAGGGTGCCTTTGTTCAAATTCCCTGTTTTGTATGTGGTTCTAAGTGTAAATGCGTGTAAAGATTAACACAACTTTTACAGAGAACATATGCAAGCCCATTTTAATGCACAATTACTGTTTACTAATAACAAGCTTGATATCTCCGTTCTCTTTAGCATAGAGGATGCGGTTTCCTTGATTTCCAACAAAAATTTCAAATTTCGATTTGTCAGACCACAGGACACTTTTTCACTTTGCTTCTGTCCTTCTTTGATGAGCTTGGCCCAGAGAAGGCGGTGGTGTTTCTAGACCCTGTTTATATATGGTTTCTTCTTTGCATGGCAGAGGTTTAAATTGTATTTGTGGATGCAGCAACAAACTGAGTTCACAGTTTTCAGCAGTTTTCAGAAGTGTTCCTAAACCCATGCAGTAATTTACAGAACCATGTCAGTGCCACCTGAAGGCCAGAAGATCATAGCCAATATTAGTTTTCGGCCTTGTCCTTTGCATACAGAGATTGCTCTGTATTCTCGTACTCTTTTAACGATATTATGTACTGTAGGTTCTTTGCTATTTTATGTTGACATCTTGGTCTAGTTTATTCTTGAAGTCTTTCCCAGAGTGGTGAACCCCTCCCCATCTTTACTTCTGAAAGACTCAGCCTCTCTGGGATGGTCTTGTTTTATACCCATGTTACTAACCTGTTGTGAGATGTTCCACCAGGTGTTTTTTTACATTATACAAATTACCAGTCTTTTGTTGCCCCGTCCCAACTTTTTTTTTTCTCAAAGATTTTCTCCCCAGTTTAGCCATGACCAATTCCACCTACTAGTTAGGACTCCCCCAAGATATGAGTTACTGGGGGAGTGTTAGGAGGGCGAAGGCTTCCCCCGAGAACTGCTGCTCACACAATGTCATTGGACAGCCGAACGTGCTCGGAGGAAAGTGCCAACCGCCAATTCTGTTACGTCAGCTAACAGACGCCTGTGCTGACAAGCATCATGCTGAATGATGGGGAAAGAGGGGGGCCTTCCTACCCACCCCTCCAGAGAGCGAGGCCAATTATCCTTTCTTGGACTCCCAGCCGTGGATGGCTGTAGCATCACCAGGGATCTGATGAGAGGGCCAATGCATAGACGGTTGCACCACTTGGGAGGGTGTCCCAACTTTTTTTTAAACAATTTTCTGGAATCTAATTCAAAATGGCCATATATATTTTTCAAAGAACAATAAAATGTCTCAGTTTGAACATCAGAGTTGTTGTCTTTGTACTATTTTAAATGAAATATAGGTTTTAAATGATTTGCACATCATCACATTCTGTTTTTATTTATATTTTGCACAGCATCTCAACTTATTTGGAAATAGGTTGTACATGTACCCATAGCACTGTTTGTAGAGCAGTAGGCAGCTCAGTGAGTGGAGATCACAATCAACTGAAACTGCTAGTTTAAGGAATCATGGAAAATTGACATTGTACTGTATGGCCTGTGTCTAAGGCCTCTTCCCACTTAGCACTGGCCAGGGATGTGCAAAGACTTGAGCTTAGACTGTACAAGTACCCTCTTGGTTTGTGTGTATATTAATTGTGTTCTATATCACCATTTTTCAAGTCTGCCTCAGTGAGGTCTAGTTCAGCATCACTCAGGAAACAGCTAGAACTTCTGGGTTTTTTCCTTGAGCTCCTGTCCCCCAAAATGTCTGTCTACGTGCATTAACATTGACATTGTTCCCCTCCAAATTGTAATTGTAAAACTTTTTGCCAAGTGTCTGCTGCTTAAGAAAAGTTATTTATGGAATTGCTGCTAATTAAAAATGAAGGCAATTGAAAGCCTACAATAATGATAACAAAAAATGACATGGAGGATATTCTTTTGGTAAGTAACAAGTAGCCACCTAACTGTACACAATATTTATAGATTTATGTATGAAGGATTATGTAAAATTAGCCAAGGTGGGACCATGAAAACCAGATGTAGGCTGGTCAAAAAGACTGTGACACAGAGAGAAAATGTCTTTAGAGGAGACTTTACAGAGAATATAACTTGTTTTCAAATAGAACATACACCGGTCAGGCATAACATTATGACTACCTCATTGTTTCTACGCTCATTGTCCATTTTATCAGCTCCACTTTCTATATAGGAGAACTTTGTAGTTCTACAATTACAGACTGTAGTCCATTTGTTTCTCTGCATACTTTGTTAGCCCCCTTTTACCCTGCTCTTCAGTGGTCAGGACCCCCATGGACCCTCACAGAGCAGGTACTATTTGGGTGGTGGATCATTCTCAGCACTGCAGTAACACTGACGTGGTGGCAGTGTGTTAGTGTGTGTTGTGCTGGTATGAGTGGATCAGACACAGCAGTGCTGCTGGATTTTTTAAACACTGTGTCCACTCACTGTCCACTCTATTAGACACTCCTACCTTGTCAGTCCACCTTGTAGATGTAAATTCAGAGACGATAGCTCATCTGCTGCTGCACAGTTTGTGTTGGTCATCCTCTAGTCCTTCATCAGTGGTCACAGGACGCTGCCCACAGGACGCTGCTGGCTGGATATTTTTGGGTGGTGGACTATTCTCAGTCCAGCAGTGTTTAAAAACTCCAGGTGTTTAAAAACTCCAACTCTAACAAAGTATGCAGAGAAACAGATGGACTACAGTCTGTAATTGTAGAACTACAGAGTGCACCTATATAATAAGTGGAGCTGATAAAATAGACAATGAGCGTAGAAAAAGGATATAATGTTATGCCTGATCGGTGTATATCCTAGCATGACCCATAGTTCTAGTATTAATGCAATTATGATAATGACCGCACATGGGTGAAGTGAGTGTTTAGGGAGGGTCAGATTCAACAAAGGATTAAAATCCATTAGTATGGGTTGTCAGATTGGACCATAATTTATGGACCCTCTTCCTTAGCCCTGTTCCTTAGCCTTGCAACGGGATCTTGAGTGTAACTAAATCAACTCAAGCTGCAGGAACAAAGGGCTCAGCGGCTGCTGGAGAGATGGCTATCTATTGTTGTCAGACGCTCAATGCCATATACCAATCCAATTACTTAAACCTGTTGCCACCTCTCCTATTACAGTGGCCTATTGAGGCAGGCTTGAGTGCAGCTTGAGTCCCTTTGACAAGAATGTGGTGGAACAGATTATGTCCTTAATGAGAAATGCCCTGTATTTTCATTCAAAGCTTACCATTTATGCTCTCAGCACCAATGATCATTCTCGGACCATGCAATCAGTACACTCTTATACTAATACACGAAAGTAGACAGAAAAATGAATTTTATAACATTACACTATATTTGGTTACTAAACTACTTAAACCACACAGAATTTGAGGGGCCCATTTACTGTATTTTTGTTGAGTTTTATTTTCTTTCCCTGAAGTCTATTTATAATATTTTTTGTTTTTTTGTGAAATATTTTGTGTTTTTTGTACCAATTATCCCTTAGAATTAAACAGGCTGTCGTTGTTGCTATGTCTTAAAGACTGATATATGTAAA